GATTCCGATCAATTTACATAGCGTTGTCAAGGAAAAATCAAAAATTTCGAAAAAAATGATTTATTCTCCCTAGCGCACACAATATTCTACCCAGACAGTTTATATTTAGTATACAAATGTATTTTTACAGGGGAAAAAAAGCGGTCACGATTAGAGTTGATGATTAACTTTTCATCAAGTTTTTCAAGAAAAAATGACAATTTTAGGAAAAAAATGTATTTTTCCACCAAAAACGAACAAAATTTTATTTAAAGGAAATTAAATTTACATATTTTAACGTAATTTTACGTGTAGATTACAAAAAAAATATAGCGAGCATGATTGGAGTTGATTATCATAGCGTTGTCAAGGAAAAACCATGAATTTTTACGAAAAATACCTAAAAATGACTATGTACCCCCCCCTAGCAGCCACATCTTTTGACATAAAGAGCTCAAATTTGGTACACTTACTTATTTTTACGTGAAAATTAAACCGGGGTAAATCCGAACGGTATTTTCAATAATTTTTTTTTACATCAGAGCCACACAAAATTGTTTTTATTTCATTACACTATTATTTTAACATTATAAAAGTACATAGAAAAAAGTTTTTCTTTCTATACGTATCCTCGTTAGTAATTAATAAGCAGAAACTTAATCTCTGTTCTCTCGAAGGAGTGTTTCAATTTTTTTGCCAAATGGTTTGTTGAAAAAAGTTTTTCAGGATCTTAATAAAATTTGGTATTCTATGGTTTTTGGGGTCGCTAATTACCAATTTGAAGTCAGTTTTTCAAAATTCAAAATGGCGGACGAGAATTAAAAAATTCATTGGATTCTCTCGAAAATTGTTACTCGGGGTTTTCAGGGTCGCTGATTACGAATTTGGAGTTAGCAAATTTGATCATTTTTAAAAATAAGTTTTAGGAAAGTCCGCCATTTTGAATTTAAAAAATTTAACTTTTATTTTTAGGGTTCCGTACTCGGTTCGGAACCCTATTAATACCGGTTTTTTTGAAATCGTGTACCCCCCCCCCCCTAGCGGCCACACAAATTTATCTGGAGGGCTGAAAATTAGTACACATATGTATTTTTGCGTGTAGATTACAGGAAAAATATAGCGAACTTGATTGGAATTGATTAACATAGCGTTGTCAAGGAAAAACCATGAATTTTTACGAAAAATGCCTAAAAATGACTATGTACCCCCCCCTAGCGGCCACATCTTTTGACATAAAGAGCTCAAATTTGGTACACTTACGTATTTTTACGTGAAAATTACAGGAAAAATATAGCGAACTTGATTCCGATCAATTTACATAGCGTTGTCAAGGAAAAATCAAAAATTTCGAAAAAAATGATTTATTCTCCCTAGCGCACACAATATTCTACCCAGACAGTTTATATTTAGTATACAAATGTATTTTTACAGGGGAAAAAAAGCGGTCACGATTAGAGTTGATGATTAACTTTTCATCAAGTTTTTCAAGAAAAAATGACAATTTTAGGAAAAAAATGTATTTTTCCACCAAAAACGAACAAAATTTTATTTAAAGGAAATTAAATTTACATATTTTAACGTAATTTTACGTGTAGATTACAAAAAAAATATAGCGAGCATGATTGGAGTTGATTATCATAGCGTTGTCAAGGAAAAACCATGAATTTTTACGAAAAATACCTAAAAATGACTATGTACCCCCCCCTAGCAGCCACATCTTTTGACATAAAGAGCTCAAATTTGGTACACTTACTTATTTTTACGTGAAAATTACAGGAAAAATTTAGCGAACTTGATTCCGATCAATTTACATAGCGTTGTCAAGGAAAAATAAAAAATTTCGAAAAAAATGATTTATTCTCCCTAGCGCACACAATATTCAACCCAAATTGTTCACATTTGCTGTAAAACTGTATTTTTGCGTGAAAAAAACAGGGAAAAAATGTAAGCGCGATTGGAGTTGATGATCAATTTTTATCAAATTTTTGAAAAAAAATGATAAATTTAATAAAAAAATGTATTTTTCCGCAAAAAACGAAAAAAATCGGACAAGTGCGAGTTCCACTCGCACTGAAATCGAGGGTTCTGTACTCGAAGCGAACTTATTTGGTATAAAAACAAATGTTTAAAAAATATGTGTTGTGTATTAAATAATATATGTGATACAAAAATGAACAATTTTTAAAAAAAAATTTAAGAAAATTGTTCCTCTTTTGGTATAAAAACAAAAAAAAATTTTTAATTTGTTTTGTATTTCAAATAATATAAGTGATACAAAAAGGAACAATTTTGTAAAATTTAAGAAAATTGTTCCTCTTCGTATCACTTATATTATTTGAAATACAAAACAAATTTAAATTTTTTTTTTGTTTTTATACCAAAGGAGGAACAATTTTCTTAAATTTTTTTTTTTAAATTGTTCATTTTTGTATCACATATATTATTTAATACACAACACATATTTTTTAAACATTTGTTTTTATACCAAATAAGTTCGCTTCGAGTACGGAACCCTCGATTTCAGTGCGAGTGTAACTCGCACTTGTCCGATTTTTTATTGTATTTACATTCAATCACTCCAAAATTCTTTCTGTACCAAGTTTTGCAAAAATCCGTTATGATTTGATAAAGTTATTGAAGGTTTTAATTGTGTAATGCATTTTAATTTTTAACCTGTTTGATTTTTGTATTTATATATGATGCATTATTACATAATAGGTTTATTATCGTATTTTTTTTGAGTTTTTATATAAGTTTAACAATTGCAATACTTTAAATTTATTTTCCCTAAGATTTTTCTGAAATACAGTGGCGTTCGTATTTACCCCGGTATTTTAGGAAAGTTGCAAAGTATCGAGGTAAATACGAACGCTAAGTTTCCTGCGATTGTAATTTATCAAAAAGTTTTGCCACCCCATAAAATTGTTCTATGGAAGTAAAGTAACAACTTCATGCACCAGATTATCGGAAGTATTTTTTTTTAAAGAAAAAACTTATGTTATTGTTGAAACTTACTAAAAGCGTTCGGATTTACCCCGATTGACCCTACTAAATAATTAAAATGACTTAAAATAATATAAATGAAATTAATTTTAAATAATTTTTATTATAATCTTAATTTTCAAATTAATCATGCTAGAAAATGAATTTTTATAAAAAATAGATGATTTTACATAAAAAGAAATTTATTAGGGTCAGTCGGGGTAAATCCGAACGGGGGGTAAATCCGAACGCTAATTATTTCAGCTTAATTAAAATTTTTAAAAATAAGTTCGATATGAGAATTTTTACCTCAGATCCTCTTGAAGAGATTTTAAGTATTATCCCATTTTTTGTTTGTTAATTAGCAACAGCATAAACAATGATAACAAGTATTGCAAAAAAGATTGAAAATCAAAGATGACACTCTTTCAGTATTTTGTCTCGTATTTGAAGAAAAAGAAGCTAAAAATTCATTTTATTATTTATAATTGTTTGTTATGAATACTAGAACAGAAACTATATTTGATTTTTGCCTTCTGTAAAATTTTATTAATAATATCAGACCGTTCGTATTTACCCAAGAAAATTGGAAAACTGGGGTAAATCCGAACGGTATTTTTAATAATTTTTTTTTACATCAAAGCCACACAAAATTGTTTTTATTTGATTACACTATTATTTTAACATTATAAAAGTACATAGAAAAAAGTTTTTCTTTCTATACGTATCCTCGTTAGTAATTAATAAGCAGAAACTTAATCTCTGTTCTCTCGAAGGAGTGTTTCAATTTTTTTGCCAAATGGTTTGTTGAAAAAAGTTTTTCAGGATCTTAATAAAATTTGGTATTCTACGGTTTTTGGGGTCGCTAATTACCAATTTGAAGTCAGTTTTTCAAAATTCAAAATGGCGGACGAGAATTAAAAAATTCATTGGATTCGCTCGAAAATTGTTACTCGGGGGGTTTCAGGGTTAGCAAATTTGATCATTTTTAAAAATAAGTTTTAGGAAAGTACGCCATTTTGAATTTAAAAAATTTGACTTTTATTTTTGTATTTACATTCAATCACTCCAAAATACTTTCTGTACCAAGTTTTGCAAAAATCCGTTATGATTTGATAAAGTTATTGAAGGTTTTATTTGTGTAATGCATTTTAATTTTTAACCTGTTTGATTTTTGTATTTATATATGATGCATTATTACATAATAGGTTTATTATCGTATTTTTTTTGAGTTTTTATATAAGTTTAACAATTGCAATACTTTAAATTTATTTTCCCTAAGATTTTTCTGAAATACAGTGGCGTTCGTATTTACCCCCATATTTTAGGAAAGTTGCAAAGTATCGAGGTAAATACGAACGCTAAGTTTCCTGCGATTGTAATTTATCAAAAATTTTTTCTACCCCATAAAATTGTTCTATGGAAGTAAAGTAACAACTTCATGCACCAGAATACCGGAAGTATTGTCTTTTAAAAGAAAAAACTTATGTTATTGTTGAAACTTACTAAAAGCGTTCAGATTTACCCAAGTTGACCCTACTTACAAATTTTTTTCCAATCATCATGTTAAAAAAATACATTTTTTGTTTAATTTTTTTATATTGTAAATCTTTTTTTATATACACTTTAATGAATTAAATAATTTTCAACAAATTTTATAAAAAATAAAAATTAAAAAAAATGAAAATAAAAATAAATTATTATGTTTGTAAAATAAATAAAATAATATTTATGTATTTTTTATTACAAAGTTTCCACATTTCTTTTGTGGATATAATCGTTCAATTTATTTAATATATAAGCGTATAAAAGTTAAATGAAACTTCACTAAAAAGAGTAATAATTATGTATATTACCAACTTTGATATATTTCATTAGTTATAAATACTTTAGATGTATACATTTACAAGCACAGATAGTTTGTTTCATTTACATAGATATATATTAAAATGTTACACCTACATTTTTAACAAGATTAAATACAGTGATATGTTTATCTGTATAACCTAAACATTATTTTTACTGTATTCCTAAGAAACCTTTTCTTTAACAGGACAAAATGGAGTTTACTTCAAGTGAAGCGATTGACGCTATACAATTCTGGGATACAACTGTGTAAGTAGTAGCAACATAATTTAATTTTTTCATTTTGTCATACAAAAAATTTATTTTCGTGTGTACGAAATAAAATTAACCATTATTTGTGAAATTATTAATAATGAGCTTAAATATGCTGAAAAGGATGAAATTTGCACTAAAGCGCGTGTTATAGAATTTTGTAAAGAAGTTATTATATATTTTAACTTTGAATCAGTACTATGCTGGTGTTAGGCCAGTATTATTTCAGTACTAACCCAGTACTGACTGACGGAGTAAGATCAGTAGTGGACAGCGTTACCACCCAGTATGGGCCCAGTACTAACTAAGTATCGGAATGAGTAGTGCAATACTGACAGTCATTACTGGGTCAATACTATGTCGAAGTTGGATTTCTACTTGGGATTGCTCAAAAGTAATAAATTTATAACTATTTGAACTAATTGAAGTCTGTTACATTTATTAATTATTAAAGTACTTTTTATTCAAATATTATATCATTATTATTTTACTGAAACAAATGTAGAGATTATAGAAAAAAGTTTACTTATAACTATAAATTTATTGGATTTTGAGGAGTATTAAAGTTCATTCTTCACTTTCCCATTGTATAATATGCTGCTTTGATCTCATTTCATCGTAATTTAATTTTAATTCGTAGACATTAATTAATTTTTCATATTAGAGTATAATGCATGTTAATGATAAAAATGTATTTTATTACAGAGAATTGATTGTTTATGTGGAGAAAGTTTTTCCAATTAAAGAAACAAAATCGAGCCAATTACTAAAATTTTATGCTAATAATGCAATGGGGAGAGAAATTCAATGTGTAATATGGGATAAAGAGGACATACAGCAATTGCAGGATTACATAGTTGAAAGGAAGGTACATAATTATTATGAGATATACTGAATTTAAAAATTTAACCGTCAATTTCAATTTCAAATTCATTTAAAAATAATCTTTTATCACTATCGTATAGCTCGTAAAATGACATTTAAAAATCACTATATCAAAGTTAACTTTCATACATCCCTTTTGTAGATACAGTTATTAGAACAAAATTTATTTTAAAAAAATGTAATAAATGAAAAATTCTGTAACTCATAAAGCATTGTATAAAATTCAAAAAAATTTATATTTACATTTACAGTAATGAAAACAACACTTTAGTGAAGTTTGAAGCTACTTTTTTTACCTGGAGAGGGATTACAAGTAGTAGTGTTGCTAACTTATTAATTGTTGCTATGTAGCAAATAAAAGTTACCAAATGTTTTTGAAATTTATTGTTAATTTAACCCACAATCCAATTCCAATGACACTTTAGAGACAAAATGAAGTACAAATTTGTATGATACGATAAAAATTCAGATTAATCTAACAGGCGAGTAAATTGACATACACTTTATGTCAATTTGCTCGTCTGTTAGGTTATTCTGAAATTGTTTTCTATCATAAAAATTAATACTTCATTTTTTCTTTGAACTAGCATTGGAATTACATTGTGTGTGAAATTAACAAAAAATTCTAAAATAATTTGCTTACTTTCCCGTGCAACATGCCAACAATTGCAAACTTAGCAACACTGCTACTTGTAATTCCTCTGCAGGAGAGAGATTACGAGTAGCAGTATTTCTCAGTTATCTATTGTTGCTGTTTAACAAATAAAATGTAGCAAATTTTATGGAATTTGTTAGTAATTTAACTCACAATCTAATTCCAATGAAACTTTACAGAAAAAATTAAGTACAAGTTTGTATAATAGAAAAGAAATTCAGACTAACCTAACAGACGAGCAAATTGACATACACTTCGTGTGAAATTTCTCGTCTGTTAGATTAATCTGAATTTCTTTTGTATCATACAAACTTGTATATAATTGTTTTTGTACTGTATGATTGCAATTAGATTATGGATTAAATTACCAATAAATTCCCAAAAAATTTGCCAACTTTTATTTGGTATATAGCATCAGTTGCTAATTTAGCAACATTGCTAATCGTAATCCATTTCCTGGAGTGGGATTACGAGTAGCATTGTTGTTAAGTTAGCAATTTTTGCTATGTAGCAAACAAAAGTTAGGAAAGTTTTAGTGAATTTGTTGGTAATTTCACCCACAATATAATTCTAATGACACTTTACAGGAAAAAGTAAGTACGAGTTTATATGATAGAAAAGAAATTCAGATTAACGTAACAGACGAGCAAATGGACATACATTTTGTGTCAAATTCCTCGACTGTTAGGTTAATCTAAATTTGTTTTCTTTCATACAAACTGATACTTAATTTTTTATGTCAAATGTCATTAGCATTACATTGTGGTTTCAATTACCAACAAATTCTATAAAAATTTGCTAACTTTTATTTTCTGCATAGCAAAAATTGCTAACTTAGCAACACTGCTACTCGTAATCCCGCTCTTGGATCGTTTAGGGATGAAGTCTTATTACTTTTGAGGGCTCTAATGTTTTTTACAGTGCAAATTTTTGTAATACATTTGTAATACTATGAAACATATTTAATATTGTCTCCTTTTTATATATTTCTGATATATTTGATAGATTTTACATATTGATGGAGCGTGCGCTCGAGTTCCCAATAATGTCGATTACAATAAGGGTAATGTTCTCTTTGAACTTCAATTATTTTCAACAACTAAGGTCAAATGTCTTGGCAATCACTTAAATGAAGAAGGAGATCCGAATGACATCATTGAAGTTGATATACAAGACATCATTCATCATGAAAAGAAAATAATTAGTAAGTATAATGTTCTTTTGGTTAAGGTTTCTTTACATTGATTTTATTAGATTCGCTTAAAACTTGTTAGTTAGAAGTTTTTGGGGTCACTGATTACAAATACTTAGTTTAATTTTAAAAATTCATAAGTAATACAAGGGTTATAAAAATGGATTATTTCTTATACGTTTAATTTTAGAGGTGGGGTTCGAAAGAGAAAAATTTGTAATTTTTATTTACGGACATGCTGTAATATTGTTAAAAATTGTAAGCTACCTTTACAGGTAAAAAAAAGAGACTTTGGTTTTTTAATGTCAAAACTAAATATCATTGACCGAATCCATATCAAATCATGCAGGCAGTCTGGTGACATATTGAAAATTAACTTGAAAATTAAAAATGTTATTCTTTTAAAAAAATAAAGAAACACGTATTTTTTAAAATTTTAATACCATTTTTTGAAGAAAATTTTTTGAATATTTTAAGATTTTGACCAAAAATTAGTGTTTTCCAAAATGTTCGTTTAAAATCTCATAAGTTCCGCAATTTTCAACCTTTTTAATTGTTTGAGCTTATTTAAGTCTATTTTTCATCCTTTTGTTGTAGAAAAATTATGAAAATTCTAAAATGTTAATAAACAATGACAAAAAATCGATTTTATGAAAAAACGAAAAAAAAAATTTTTCTCAACAAGGCCATCCTTTTTTTTGATTTTCAGGAATTGTAAATACTTATATGTACTATTTAATACAAATATATTTTTGGGTATTTTTTGTATTTGAAAAAAAAAAAAATATTTCAAATTTCTTCTTCCAAATCTGTTAAATTTCGCAATTTTCATGGTGTTCAGATGTTTCTTGTATGAACCTTTTCATTTTTTAATACTCTTATTAAAAAGAATGTCTAAAGTAAAGAATTTTCATAAATAGCTATAATATTGAACTTTTGAAACAATTTCTTTCAAAAAATCATGTGTCTAAATTGTAAAACTTGTCGAAAAGTTATATATATTATTTTTGTCTGGTAGTTTTCATATTGTTATTAACTTATTTCATAACTTATTTCATCTTTTAGAAAGTATTAATTTATTCCTTAAAACTTTTTTCTTTATTTTTCATTTTATGAAATAAGTTAACAAAAATATAAAAAGTACCAGACAAAAATTATATGTATAACTTTTTAAAGAGTCTAAAAATTGAGACAAATAATTTTTTTCAAAAGAATTGTTTGAAAAGTTTAATATTATAGCTATTTATGAAAATTCGTTACTTTTTAAATTGTTTGTAAAAAGAGTGTTAAGAAATAAAACAGTTAACAGAATAAACATCTAAACACCTTTAAAATTGAGAAATTTAAGAGATTTGAAAGAAGAAATGTTAAATATTTATTTCTCCTAAAAGACAAAAACATAGTCAATGATATTTTTGTGTTAAATAGTACATATAAATATCTCCAATTCCTGAAAATGTGAAGAAAAAAAATATTTCCTTTTTGAGAAAAAAATTTTGTCGTTTTTTCATAAAATCGAATTTTTTTCATTCATTATTAACATTTTTGAATTTTCATAATTCTTCTAAAGAAAAGTATGAAAAATAGAATAAAATAAGCCCAGGAGCAACTACAAATTTTGAAAATTGCTGAAGTTGTGAGATTTTTAATAACAATTTTGAAAACTACTATTTTTTTGTCAAAATTTTAAAATTTTCCTAAAAATTTTAAGAAAATTATAATGAAAATTTAAGAAATACGTGTTTCTTCATTTTTTGAGCAGAATAGGAGATTTAATTTGTAAGTTAATCCTTAATATGTCAGCAGACTGCCTACATGATTTAATATGGATTCAGTTTCTTTCAATTTGGGATGAAATATTATTAAAGACTTTGAAAAATATTTATTTTACAATGATGATAATTACAAATTATTAATGCTATGACATTGGACAAGATGTCATTGCTTTACAAATGACAAAAGATTTCAAATTTTCTTGCTATATTTATATAGCTTTTTTCTAGAATGATTTATCCAAATTTAAATATAATCATGTTTTCATTAATATCCATATACATTATAATTACTGATGGTATTATATTATACATTACAATGAAGGAGAATGAATTTTATAAACTAAATTTTACATTATAATATGAAATTTAATAACATTATCTTCTTCCAGAACTTTCTGCTTTTCTTAAAATTCAATTTACGTTCCAAAAAGTGGGTATTAATTACCGCGTGGGAACATTTGGTTGTGGCTCCGTTACAGATGGACAAAACAAATTGGAAGTTAGAATTGGTACATTTAAAAATGTATTAACAATAGCGAAGGGCGAACCGCTGCAATTAATTGGCCAAATTCGCACAGAAGGTAATAATATTCTTTTATCAAGGAATATCACAATCGACAGTTTGGCTCATTTCCCATAAAAAATATGAAGTACAAGTTTAAATGATAGAAAACAAATTCAGATTAATCTAAAAGACGACTAATTTGACACAAAGTGTATGTCACATTGCTCGTCTCTTATGTTAATCTTCGATTGTTTTCTATAATACAAACTTGTACTTCATTGTTTCTGTTAAGTGTCATTGGAATTAGATTGTGGGTTCAATTACCAACAAATTTTCTAAAAATTTGCTAACTTTTAATTCCTACATAGCAACAATTGGTAACTTAGTAAAGACTGCTAAGCGTAATCCTTTTTCATAAGCGTGATTACGATGAACAGTGTTCTTAAGTTAGCAATTGTTGCTATGTAGCAAATAAGAGTTAGCAAATTTTTATGAAAGTTTTTGGTAATTTAACATACAATCTAATTGCAATGTCACATTGCAGAAAAAATGAAGTACAAATTTATATTATAGAAAAGTACCATGGCTGGGAAATTAGACTACCTTTTCATTTATTTATGTATTTTATACGTTGAACGCGAATCTGAAGTTCGTTTTGCTTCATCACGTCAGGATTTTCATATAACCTCAAACAATGTGTCGAGTTTTATGTGTGAAACAAATTTTTTTTATGCTTTATTGATTTGTATAACATTTGGTATCGTAGTGTCTTTGGGGTCGCTGAACACGAATCTGATGTTAGATTTCCTCTATGTTAGGATTTTTTCCTAACATCAAAAACTTCAGATAAGACTCATGTGTTAGTAGACGGATTTTTTAAACAATGATGGATTTAAATAAAACTTGGTTTATACTGGTTTTCTGGGTTGTTAACGACGAATCTGGTGTTAGGTTTTAAAAATGTAATATAGCTGATAAAATGCAGCAGCAAAATTTTGTAAAAAGTATCATCTTTTAGCAAGAATTATAATGGTATTTTTTCAACAAATTTGGCGTTAAATTGAGTCTGCCATGTTCAATTTTGAAAATTGGACACCACATTCGTCGAAGGCGACTCTAAAAACACTGAAATACCAAGTATTATTTAAATCCATAAATGTTTAAAAAAATTCGTCTGGTAACACATGAAATCTTCTACGTTTATTGAGGTTAGAAAAAATCCTGACGTTGCAGCGCAAATCTGACTTCAGATTCGTGTTTTGCGACTCTAAAAGGTCTAAGATACTAAGTGTGAGACAAATCAATAAGCTTTAAGAAAAGTTTGTTTGACACAGAATTCGACATGTTTTTTGAGATTATGTGACAATCCCCACGTGATGAAGAAAAACGGACTTCAAATTCGTATTCAGCGCATCAAAATACACAAAAAAAGGGTGGTTTAATTCCCCGGCTATAGTACTTTTTTGTGTGGTTATGAAATCAATATATAAAAATTAATTGTCATCCATTCCTTTTATAGATATAGTTGTTTGAAAAAATTTAATTTTCAAAAAAGTAAAAAATGAAAAATGTTATAACTTTTAAAATATGTTATGACATTCAAAAAATAGTTTATATTTACACTTACAATAATCAGAACAATACTTTATTAAAGTGTGGACAAATTAATTTTTTTATTTAGATAGTTTAGGAATGTTGCCTCATATATAATAATTATATTTTTTTTTATAGGACCTAGAATTTACATGCAGGTCAACACGGAGCAAGACATAACACCTTTGCAAGGTGATCCGCTTCCGCTAAGAGATGTGTTGTTAGGATTCAGGGAGTTGAAAAGAATATGTGAAAGGCAAATTACAAGAGACGATATTGAATAAGAGATAGTAGTACACATAACTTTTTTTATAGTTACCAAAAGTTTATTATTATTTTTCATAGACAAAAATTTCTTTTATTTTATGACAATGTTTCAGATGATATATCACATATCTTTCAAATTATCACGTACATATCTTACGTGTCTGTCATTATTGATGGTATTTTTCTGAAGAAAAAATATAATTACTCTGATATTATACTACATAATAGTTCAAATGAATATATATTCCATTGAAGCGGGGAATATTTCAAATTATTACTAATTTCTGTTTTCACTCTTCATAAAGAACACATATCTTCAATTGTTAAATATGTATGAAATCATTTATTTTCTTTATAATAATTACGACAAGTATTGTAAATTTCATTTATTTTCGTTTATATATATATGAAATAAAATATTTTCTATATTCGATTTCTAAAAATTCATTTATATATATATATTAGGGTGGCCCAAAAAACCAAGTCATAAATGTTTTGCTCTGTGTGTGTGTGTGTGTGTGTGTATTTGTGAGTATGTGTGTTTGTATATATGTTTTAGTATATCCCTTTCTTGTAAAGACAATAACTGTAATAGATTTTCATGGATTTGATTGGAATTTGTTAGGATTATTTACCACATTCATATTTCAAAATAGACACAAGGATTTTAGGAATAACCTTCTAAAAAATAATTTTTTTGTTTTTCTTCCAAAAATTCGTTCATAATAAATTTTTTTTTAATATAACAATTTAAATAAATATAGTATAATAACATTGTATTTTTTACAGCCAGACGAAACAAATGGTATATACAAAGTATACATTTTCTCAAAAATTATGTAATTAATTACAATTAAAAGGTGAAAAATTCACATTTTAACTGCAACCTTTTATAATAACGTCAATAATTTTTATTCCATTTTACAAAAAAAGGATTTAAATATAGACCTGTTCTGTGGATTTGTCTATATTAAGCGTTCATTAGTTGTTTGCGAATGAAATAAAAGTTCCTTCATTAAACGATGAAAATTCCACTTTATACTTGTCATTAAAAGCTTACAGTTTCAAAAATTATTTGTAAAACGTCCTTCAGAAAATACGTCTTTTATAAGTTATCAGCTTTACAAATTTTGATACATTTAAAACTTTCTAAAAACTTCAGAAATAAAAGTGTCTATAAAATAATGAAATATCCAAAAGTTTATTTAAAGCATGCATTTTACGCGCGTTTCTTTTAGCTAGTAACTGATAAAATGTAAGACAAATTTCCTGTTGTTCAACAGATGTTTTTTATTTCACCATATATTTAACTGGAAGTGGCAGACAATTCCACACAGAATAAATGATGAAGTGCAAAACAAATTTCCTGTTGTTCAACATATGTTTATCTTTTCACCATATTATAACTGGAAGTGTCCGGTAATTCCAGAAAGAATAAGTCATGGAGTGCAAGACAAATTTCCTGTTGTTCAACAGATGTTTTTCATTTTACCATACTTTAATCTACGCATTTCAGATCAAGTCAAAAAGAACAAGTGATGATGACGGATAATAATTTCCTGTTGTTGAACAAATGTTTATTATATTACCATACTTTTACCACGAAGAGTCAGACATTTTCACAACGAAAATGAGATGAGTTGGGATATTATTTTCCTGTTGTTCAACAGATGTTTATCTTTTCACTATATTATAAATGAAAGTGTCATGCAATTCCAGATGGAATAAGTGATGAAGTGCAAGACATATTTCCTGTTGTTTAACAGATGTTTTTTATTTCATCATACTTTTAACACGAAAAGTGAGACATTTCCCCAATAAAAATGGGATGATGTGAGATTCTATTTTCCTGATGTTTAACAGGTGTTTATATTTTCACCATTTTTTTAACTGGAAGTGTCAAGTCTTTCCCGAAAGAATAAGTGATGAAGTGAAAGACAAATTTCCTGTTGTTTAACAGATGTTCTTCATTTTATAATTTTTTTATCTGGAAGTGTCAGGCCATTCCAGAAAGAATAAGTGATGAAGTGCAAGACAAATTTCCTGTTGTTCAACAGATGTTTTTCACTTTACCATACTTTAATCTACGCATTTCAGGTAAATTCAAAATGAACAAGTGATGATGACGGATAATAATTTCCTGTTGTTCAACAGATGTTTTTTATTTCACCATACTCTTAACACGAAGAGTTAGACATTTCCCTAATGAAAATGAGATGAGGTGGAATACTATTTTCCTGTTGTTTAATAGATGTTTAACTTTTCACCATATTTTTAACTGGAAGTGTCAGGCCATTTCAGAAAGAATAACTGATAAAATGTAAGACAAATTTCCTGTTGTTCAACAGATGTTTTTTATTTCACCATACTTTAATCTACGCTTTTTAGATAAATTTAAAAAGAACAAGTGATGATGGCAGATACTAATTACCTGTTGTTCAACAGATGTTTATCTTTTCACCATATTAAAACTGGAAGTGTTAGGCAATTCCAGAAAGAATAACTGATAAAATGCAGGACAAATTTTCTGTTCTTCAACAGATGTTTTCTTTACACCATGCTCTTAGTTTTTAATGTCAGACAATCACATATGCTGACTAGCAAAACTTTTTTGCTGTTGATCAACAGCTGCTTTTCTTTTCATTTTAACTTAATTTACAATTGTCTGATAATTCTGCAAAGTTTAAGTGATAATGTGCTGGAATTATTTTCTGCTGTTTAACATTTATTTTTCTATACATCGTACTTTTTTTTTAAATTAACAAACAATTGTTTAATATTTTAACCCTTTATACATAAAAATTAACAAATTCTTTAGCGTTAACCTTTTTTATAAGATTTAATATAATTTGATTACCTTTTTAGAAAGATATCATTTATTTGAACTGACACAAGAAGCACGGTATTGAAATTTGTAAATTATTACGTAAACCCCCTCTCCCTTTTAACTCAAACCTCTAATCCGTTTGACCAAAAAGGTAAATAGATTGAATTTATTAAACTCATCATATCAAATGCTTATTATATCTTTATAACTTTTGAAACTGAGTATACTTAATAGATAAAAGTGAACTTAAAAAATTTTTTCTTTACTAATTTCTTTTTGTAAAATATAACAAAATTATTTTTTATGATGTAAAATATAACAACTGCAAAATTTGAAAATCTTATTTAAATTTTGAAAGTGTTATATTCTACCAATTTTTTTTGGTTAATGTTAAATTTTATTCTTAAAAATAAAATAACAAAAAAAAATTTTTGTATAATATAACAAATTTAAGAAAAAAATCATCCCGTAATAATACTGACTCTAACTGTCATAATATTTGTAATCAGTAATCGACAAAATTATTAAGTTTGAAGTTTAAAATGAATCCATATATTTCATGAAAATTATTCATTGAATTTGCCAGTTTGAGTTTTTAAAAACCTTATTAGATTCGTAATAAATTACTATAGAGAATTTGAAATAGTACATTATGGTATGATAAGTGTGGAAAATCAGCTAGTTACTGCGCGACAAAACCGAGTGCAGTAATCATATCATCAAGAACGGCTTCCACATGAAAAGTATATGAAATTCGTTTTCAAATTCTGAAATGATGGCCAATTAATTTATGTATTGAAAGTGTGCTAAATTGTAAATATTATAGTAAGTAGGGGTAATATGCCATAATTCTGAAATTTCTTTCGTAAAGTACAGATCGAGCTATTGCTAAATCCTTATTAATAAAATCAGACCTACACAGAAAAACGGTTTGACAGATTAAAGCGAAACTGGGCAGTCTATTAGACATTACTCCAACTTGAAATCCTAGCCATAGTAGGTTAAAAAATATTAATGCAAACGGAAGTTGTGCAACTTTTTCGAAAATTCAAAATTTTTGATTTTTTGATATATCAATCCATGTTTCCTAAACTTGCCACAAGGTTACTTTTGGTGTTTCTTATTGTCATTTTGTCGTAAGAATAGTAAAATTGTGGATTATAAATTAATAATGTCGGATTTAAATATTTCAGGGTCAAAAAATGGAAAACTAAAAAAATTGTATTTTTTTGCAAATAAATTTTATACATGTGAATTGTTAAGGTCTAGAATACTGATGTTTTGTTAAAATCATAATTTTACTCTGCTAAAAAATATTTATTAGATACTGAAACTATTTAGGAAAACAGTAAATATAAAAAAGTTTTGAAATTAAACTCTTTTTAATAAATTAACACTATATTATACTTGTCTTTTGTAAGAATAATTTAGTTACATTTTATTTTAATTTAAAATAAAAATTGTAGAAAATCGAACGATTAAAAGAATATTGAATTTTTAATTCAATTTTGGATTATAAAATTTTTTAGCCAAAAGTGTAATATAGCAATTTAAAAACAAATAAAATATTAATTTGTTTGATATTTTTAGACTATAATATGAATTTTCTCTCAAACACTCCGAAGTGTGAAAATCAACACGGCCCAATAATGGCTCAGTATTTGCAAAATTTGCGCCGAATCTCGGCAGACAATAATGGGCCGACTCTTGGGCTGTTTACCACAGATGGACGTTGGAAGCCAAATCTCCGCAGACATTATTGGTCCAAAATGCAAAAAATAATTTTATTAATTAACTAATTTAGAATATTTTACACGGTTTTTCCCCTTTAATTAACCGCAACCTCACAAACATTTGAAAAATTCTTACCGCTCGCGGGGATTGATACCTCAACCTGATAAACCACTGCCAGACACTCTGACCACACTGCTACGCTGACGAGAAGTCAAGTAAGCAAAAAGGTTCTTATAAGCTGTAATAATGGACAATAATGTGCCAGTATTGGGACGAGCTACGTCCCAATAGTGGCAATTATACTTTGCCATCATAGATAGAAAAATTTTAGCCATTAATGGGTCAAGCTACGTCCCACTATTGTCAATTATAATTTTCCTTCTTTGATTCTACATTTTAGCCATGTATGCTTCCATTACTGGGCCAAGCTAAGTCCTAATATTGGCAATTATAACTGGGCATCATAGATACAGAATTTCAGCCATTAATGTGCCGTTATTGAGCAGAGCTTATATTGGCAATTATAATTATTATTAATCCATTCATTAAATACATTTTTCTATTATAAAATTTTTATTGTACTTTTTAAATAAATAGATGTTTTAAAGATCCATTCATAAATATTTAAATTTCTACTGTAATAAAAAAATGCAATAATTTTAATTGAGAAGAAATTATCTCTTTTTAAAATACACTGAAAAAAAATTTATTTGATTCAAATACCGGTGCATTTGGTTATTATAAAATAAATATGTACTTGAATCAAATATTTCTTATTTGAATCAAATATATAATATTTGAACCAAATATTTCAGTATTTGAAGCAAATACCATTTATTTCATACAAATGAGAAATATTTGATTTAAGTAAATATTTATTTGATAATAACCAAATACACCGATATTTGAATCAAATAAATTTTTTTTCAGTGTAGAATTCAAATAATATGAAAGAAATGAAAAGAAAAAATTCTGAAATTTGGAAAATGAAATCATTTGTTTTGAATGTAACCCTTATCTTGACGAATATTTTTTACTTCTGGAAGATATTTAAAAAACAAAATGGGTAAATTTGAATGTTTTTATTAATTATAAAATATGATACACGGTTTTTCCCCTTTAATTAACCGCAACCTCACAAACATTTGAAAAATTCTTACCGCTCGCGGGGATTGATACCTCAACCTGATAAACCACTGCCAGACACTCTGACCACACTGCTACGCTGACGAGAAGTCAAGTAAGCAAAAAGGTTCTTATAAGCTGTAATAATGGACAATAATGTGCCAGTATTGGGACGAGCTACGTCCCAATAGTGGCAATTATACTTTGCCATCATAGATAGAAAAATTTTAGCCATTAATGGGTCAAGCTACGTCCCACTATTGTCAATTATAATTTTCCTTCTTTGATTCTACATTTTAGCCATGTATGCTTCCATTACTGGGCCAAGCTAAGTCCTAATATTGGCAATTATAACTGGGCATCATAGATACAGAATTTCAGCCATTAATGTGCCGTTATTGAGCAGAGCTTATATTGGCAATTATAATTATTATTAATCCATTCATTAAATACATTTTTCTATTATAAAATTTTTATTGTACTTTTTAAATAAATAGATGTTTTAAAGATCCATTCATAAATATTTAAATTTCTACTGTAATAAAAAAATGCAATAATTTTAATTGAGAAGAAATTATCTCTTTTTAAAATACACTGAAAAAAAATTTATTTGATTCAAATACCGGTGCATTTGGTTATTATAAAATAAATATGTACTTGAATCAAATATTTCTTATTTGAATCAAATATATAATATTTGAACCAAATATTTCAGTATTTGAAGCAAATACCATTTATTTCATACAAATGAGAAATATTTGATTTAAGTAAATATTTATTTGATAATAACCAAATACACCGATATTTGAATCAAATAAATTTTTTTTCAGTGTAGAATTCAAATAATATGAAAGAAATGAAAAGAAAAAATTCTGAAATTTGGAAAATGAAATCATTTGTTTTGAATGTAACCCTTATCTTGACGAATATTTTTTACTTCTGGAAGATATTTAAAAAACAAAATGGGTAAATTTGAATGTTTTTATTAATTATAAAATATGATATAATGATAGTGTATAGAATATGAGACTTCTTAATTTAATTGTTAAGTAATATAAAAATTAATTTCAATTTTTAGAAAATTTTTTAATTTTTGTGTTTGGATTTTTGAAATTGGCTAAATATCAATCGATTCACCATTAATACAATCCTATTAATAAAAAAAAATTTTGTCTGTACATTGCACAGAATTAAAGAATTTTTATTATTCAGAGAATTTTTGAAATAATATAACAGACATAAGAAACAAAATATAACTTAATGTTTCCAAAAAAATTATAAATAAATGTAAATATTAAATACTACACATAAAAAAAACTGACAATAGAAATTGCTGTTATTACAAAATACTATCTATACGCAACAATATCGGTCGCGAGCCAGCTAAATTTCGGTTCCCGCCAAAGGCGGGCCCGAAAGCTAGTGCTTCATAAATGTAGTTTACATTACTTGATAGCTTTTGGGGTAAAATTCCAGTTCGTAATTTTTTAAAAAATATCAACAATAAGGAAACGAATAACTATTGTTCAATATGTTATAACCAAATTATTATAAAGACCAAATTTGATTGGGAACAACTTCTTGTTCTAAAATTTAGGTATATGAAGTTCAATAATTGTTCAGAGTGTTAAAATTAGCTTTTGAAAGTTTAGTTTCTCTGAAGATAACTATATTTAATTAGTCAACTGTAAAACGTTACAGGCTCTATCAATTAATCTTGATTTTTTATTCAATATTTTAAGTAAAATATTTCACTTGAACTGATGACATATTACCCGACTTCCTAGGTTAATATGCCCATTTTAAAATTTTCGAATTTTTAATTTTTTTCTTAAATTATGATTACTAATTTTAAAACTCACTGACATATTAAAAGCTTATTATTGTTATAATCCATTGCATATAAAATTATTTAAACCGCATTAAGGCATCCGGGAGAAAATAATGGTTTCGTAGATTTCTTCTCATTTGAAAAAGTAGAATATTTTAAGTTTAGATTTTTTGATAATAAAAGAAGAAGGTACTCTGTCGTGGGCTCTTTTCGGAATTTTTCATAATCTTGATAAATAATTATTGAAAAGAATGTTTAAACATTGTCAAAAAGGAGTTTCGTAGATTTCTTCTCACCTTTAGAGGATAAAGCATTTACAGTTGGTATTTGGAGCAATAATAGACTTTGGGTCACTGAGTGAGGCTCTTCCCCATTTTTGCAATAATATTGTGAGGAAATTATTTTATTAAAGATTTAAAGATTTAAAGTGGAGTAATTTGGGGTAAATTAGTTGAGCATCGGCCACTAGCTCGAATTGGCGCCACTTTCTGGGCCACTGACACATAGATTCAATGTCTGTGTGCTCACTGTCCCCACTTCCGTCAAAAATGCAACTACTATAACCTTGTTTTTCAATACTTTTTTCCAAAATTACTTGGAAAAATGGAGATGATTCCACAGGCCTACAAAATTGTCGATTTTGTCAGACCTAGAATCCGGACTAGTCATTTTTCATGTAATTTTTCACGCTGAATCCAAAAATGACAGCGAAATTGGTCTATCACGTCAGGATTTTGAGATATTCTAACCTGAAAGCGTGAAAAAGACCGTTTTTGGCAACATTCAACCATCTATAAAATCTTCAAAAAATTTTTTTAAACATAGGTCCAAATTTTTAAAGAAAGTTCTACTATTCACCTTTCAAAATTTTCTTGGCCTGTTCCGATCCGATTTCTTTTCACTGAGATACAGCCATTTGAGTATTACGTTACACGACCTAAAAACTTTTTAAAAAAGGAAAAATAAAATTGCAAAGAACTTCAACTAAAACTCGTTACTAGGGGGGTTTTTGGGGTCGCTGATTGCAATTTTAATGTCAGATTTTCGAAATTAAAAATTTCGGATTCAATATGGCGGATATTTTTTTAAATTCAACTGATTCGCTTGAAAATCGCGTAACTTGGGAGTATTTTAGATCTTTGATGGCGATTCTGATAGCAGCCGTATTGGATCCGCCATTTTTTCGAAAATCTGGCATCGTTATCGTACTCAGCTACCTCGAAATCCCCCGAGTAACAAGTTTCAATTTAAGGACTTAGTTTTCCTTTTTTTAGGGTTTTCAGGTCGTGTAACGCAAAATTTAAATGGTTGTATCTAAGTGAAAAAAAATCGGATTTGAATGGGTCAAGAAAATTTTAAAAGGCAAATAGTAGTACTTTCTTTAGAAATTTAAACCAACGTTTAAAAAATTTTTTTGGAGATTTTATAGATGATTGAATGTTGCCAAAAACGGCCTTTTTCACGCTTTTAGGTTAGAATATCTCGAAATCCGGACGTGATAGAGCAGTTTCGCTGTCATTTTTGGATTCAGCGTGAAAAATTACATGGGAAATGACTATTCCGATTTCTGGGTCTAAAATTTGTAGGTCTGTGTTCTTAATCAGCTCGCCCTCATTTAATTATTCCGACAAATCCGAACAAGATATTTCAAGTTATTTACTACCCAGCAAACACAAGTAACATGCATGTAACAGTTACATAACAGTTCTATGAAAATGTCGGCTTATTCGTGTAACTTGTTACTGGTACATAATTGTTCTGTAACAATTATGTACCAGTAACAAGTTACACGAATTATCCAACATTTTCATATAACTGTTAAGTAACTGTTACATTCATGTTACTTGTGTTTGCTGGGTAGTAATATCACTCGTGGGAAAACACTTTTAGGTTAGGGAGTTTTCCCGGATGGCCTTAATGTTTTTCAATTTATACCTTCTCTAACACAGGTTGTGGAATATTACCCGCCCAACTTACTATATTTCAAGAGACTCATTATTTCACGCTTTTGTGTGATATAATGAAAAATTTTATAATATAATATTTTTAAATGGAAATATTCATTAATGTAAGTTCCCAAAACATCGTTTTACAATAACAAATGATTTCTTGTCAAACATATGACAATGAAATACTTCATGATTTTTAAGATCATCAAGTCTATAAATTTTATACTCTTCTTGAACTGATACCTCATAAGCCATCAATTTTACATTATGTTCAATAGTTTTAACTGTTCTACAGATAAAAGCAGGTCCGTCATTACATCGGAGAATGTACTCTAATGAAGCAAAAAGTGGGTTACTGTTGTCGGAGTAACCAACAGCAACGAGACATTTTCCAGGAATATATTTAACGCCATTAAAGTTTATCCAAGATGTAGTACAAAGTAACAATCCTTCTTCATATAAATGAGAATATGGTAAATCCATGTTTATGGACAATTTCTGTGGGCCAAATTCGATTTCTTTAGATAAAGGTGTTAGTAATTCAAATGCTTGTCTTTGTTCGTACCTGACAGACAGAGTTAAAGGTAAATTTTTGTAGTTTCTCATTGCTTGTGTAATTCTTTTGAATACTTGGTGATTTGTTTCTGGACGTAGGCACATAAATATACCTAGTGGACCGTAAAACATAATTAATCGAGGATAATGAATTAGAAAATGTTGCTTGGGTATTAATGTAGTTTCGTACAATTCAATAAAGTCAGATAAATATTCTGCTATTAAATCTTCCAAAAAATCAATCATAAGTTGACTAATTTCATATCCAAAAACAATGCAGGATATTTGCAGCAAATCTGTGTAATTTTTATAATAACGACAATCTGGTTCTACTAGATCTTGAACAACAAAAGGTAATATATGCGCTAATGTCCATAATTCAACAGCTGATAACTTTAAATTAGCGCCTTGGAAGAGATGAACGGCTTTTAGTGGGGGTGGCCGTTTATCAACTTCAGAATATCCAAAGTCAAAGGAAGCTAGTCTTTCATTTAATTCTTCAACTGAAATTTGATTTAATATTACTTGCTGAAGAAAAAACTGTATTGTTCTTGGTATTACACCTAAAAGTAGATCATGAACGAGGTCAGGAGGGGATACTTTAATTACATGGTAATAATTAAGTTTATTTAAAACACTTTTTCTTTTAATTCCGTAATCTGTCATTAATTTTTCTCTTTCTTGTCCATATGCATTTTCAATCATTTCAACTTGTCTATCATGTTCTTCTTGATTGCGAAGCAAACTCCTATTCTCTTCAACCATTTGATGGATCATTGCCAAATCAGCAAGACAATAACGGCATGGATGTCTTGTTCTTCCAAATGATTCTTTGAAACCGCACATGGAATGTTGGGCAAGATTATCTCCTTGAGTTGCAAATAGTGAACCTCTAATTATTGTCCCATTTAAGTAATGAATGACACTTTCAATTTTTTTTAAATCATTTACAATATGCTTCATGATACTGTTTAATCCATATCGTTTCACATAAGTAGTTCTTACGATTGCGACTAGATAAATGTGTAACAGTGCAGAACGATATATTGGATGTATTTGAAGAGTGGAAGCATAAATCATCCATAATTTTTGATTTCCACTAGATTTTGACAGTAAAATATTGTGATGACTATTATCTTGCCTCCAAATCTCTTCTTTAAACTTCAATCCATCTTGAATTGAAGCAAGTACACCTTCCTTGGAAGTATGATTATCGACGATGTCAGGGTACGAAGGTTGTTCACAAAATTTTTTCAAGATTTTTGAAAGGGGAATAAAATACATTTCATCATATTTGACTTTCGTTGAACGTTCTTCATTAGTTTTTGCACTTCCATATTTTATAAACCGGCTTCCTAAAATTCGTTTCTTTGGCATCAATACATTAAATTCTCTATTGAAAAATTTTGTTCGTTTCTTTTTACTATTAAAGTCATCAGTGAAGTTTATATTTCTAATATGTTGTTCAATATTATAAAATTGACCAACATGTATATTTGTGTTTTCTTCTATAATTTCTTCAAGTTGGCGAAGAGAAAATGCAACAAACTCTTTAGCAGCATTTTGTATTGTTTGAAGAATAAGATCAATTTTTTCTTCTGAAATACTTGTTGTTGATCTTAATTGTAATAGAAGTAAACCCATAGCTCGTTTTCTGGGATCAACTTCTCTTTCAGGTTGTTCAGTTTCTTCAGTTTCATCTTCGTCACTATTGACCTCATCTGAATCGTCTGTTGCGCTATCGCTCGTTTGGTTCCTTGATTCATTATCATTGTCACTTTCTTCTCCATCATTAATGTTATCATTATCATTATTGGATTGTAACTACTCGACAACATCATTTCCTCTTCTATTATCATTATTATCATTCAAATTATCAGCTTGCAAATTTTCAATGTTATTCAGATAATCAACATCCATAAGGTTATTTGCTTCTTCAATCACATTTATTTCTACATTTTGAAGAGGTACTCTCATTCTATGCTTCCTCGATTTGTGTGATCTCAGTGATGATTTATTATCATAGGAAGCATTGGAGTCTCTAAAATCACATATAAATCTGCCATTTGGATTGACTATTGCGTTTTGTTCCAGATGCATATTTCTCTCTTCCATGTCTATAAATAAATACATAAAAGGTTTGAATTGTTTTATGTCATTATATATAATTTATATAAAAAACACAGAAATTTATAAAAAAAATTAGCAGAATTTTCCACAGCAGAAAATCTTACATGTAAAACTTGTAAGTTTATATTGCAATCCTGTACTAGATTTAATATTAACTAAAATTTTAGTTAACATTTAAATGTCCGCTTCAGACTAATTAATACGTAAGGGCAAAGTTTTACAAGCAGACATTGTAAGGTTGTGATAGACTTGGTTGTAATTTATGGGGTTTAATGTTAGCCAAAAAATGTTATAGAATATATATTTTAAACATCGCTACTCTTAAAATGTTTCACATTTAGGAGGTACTATCGATTGTGGGATTCACAGACAGTTTTTGACAAAACTCTGTACACTGGTATAGATATTCGTTTTAAACAGATGTAGTTACATTCTTAAAGGTTAAGGTTGATTATGAAGGAAGCTATAAACTATTTTATTATTATATGCTGTTTTATGGAAAAACGTTCTGTTATAATATCTTTAAGATTTAGTTGTAAGAAATATGACAGACAGATATTAAGGGGTTAAACCACTCTAGTTTAAAATAAGACAATATCAATTGTAAGCAGAAAGATTTTTTGAGTACCTAAATTTAAACCTGCTCATGGTCCTGTAATGCCAGCTCAGAGGGAGTATTGTCATTAAGGAGGGAAACTCGTGTAAAAAATTTTTTTTGTATTTTATGTTTTGTTCTTTAATACTTAGTTTACCATTTATTGAATATGATCCATTTTCAAGGGCATGTCCAAGTTGTGAAATGTAAATAATGAGAATGTAAACAAAAAAAAGACCAAAATTGCAATTTTTTTGGCACATCCTATTTCCATAAAAATTAAAATTTTACATTTTTTTAACGAAATTCGTTAATTAAAACATCAAAGTCGGTAACTATACTTTATTTAACTGCAAGCATTATGAAACAATTATTAAAATAATAAAATATAATGAACAATAAAATCGCATTTTTCATTTATCACAAAAATTTAACAGTTTGACTATATCAGAGGCACGGACGCTGAGCACCTAATCGGAAGGTAGAGTCGAGTGATTGGACGGTCACGATTGGGAAAGGGAAAATTTTCCTTTTCCTACTAGTGATCTTCCAATCGCTCGATTTTACCTCCCGTTGAAGTGCTCGACTTTCTTCACCGTCCGTGCGTCTGATATAGTCAAGCGTCAAAAAATTTCTGTCAATTTTACGTTTGACTATATCAGACGCACGGACGATGAAGAAAGTCCAGCCACTAAGCGGTAGGTAAAATCGAGCTATTGGACGGTCACTAGTAGGAAAGGGAACATTTTCCCCTTCCCAATCGTGACCGTCCAATCACTCGACTCTACCTCCCGATTAGGTGCTCAGCGTCTGTGCCTCTGATATAGTCAAACCGTAAAATTTTTGTGATGCGTGAGATTAAACTTTAATTGAAATCAATAAACAACTTCTAATTCTAAAAAAAAAAAAATTTGTGATGCGTGAAAAATGCAAATAATTCTATATTACTTATATTAAAATAAAAGAAAATTGTAAAGTATATCTTTTTACTCTTTCAGATGGGCCAGATAAAGGTTTATAATCATATTTTGCATTATTTATAAATTTTTCTTTGAAAAAATTATCAAAATTTGGATATTTTTTGACACTCTAGAGTGGTTTAACCCCTTAATATAATTTTTTATAGTTTTTAAATAAGTGGTGTTGAACTAATTTACAAAAAAAAATGATGATACTTTATTTCTCCGACTTAAAATTAATTTTTTTGTCTAAATTGGGTGTTTTTATCCATATGAAAACACTCAGTTTTATAAATTTTTAAGAAAAGTCAGACAGCAATTAAATACGATTAAAAAAATGGAACCTGAAAAGAATATGTATATTATTGCCAATCTTTACATTAATGCAGTATCGGCGTGAATTGTGCGACTTCTGCTTTTTTGATGACTATAGAATAACTTAAAACTTAAAAAAAAAATAATAACATTTTTTCTTTTCTAAAAAATAATAAAATTCCGAAAAAAATGCAACCTAAACGAAGAGAATACATTAATTTTCCAATTAGTTATAAAAGAAGAACCTCATTTTCAATGTTTTTTTACTAATTCCTTTATATCGTTGGTAAAAATGAATATTTTTTAACGTTCTTGAACTTATAGAAATTGTATTTTGCCATAAAATTCTAATTATTAAAAATACTTTTTATGCGTATTCTTTCGTAAAATCTGCTAAACGTAAAAACCGTGTAAACAAAAGTCAAAAAATTATTAGCAATGTTTGTACGGCAAAAAATTATTAGTAAAATGTGTAAATCTTGAATTTGATTAAAACTATTGGAAAAGTTATAAATTATATGTTTGGTTTGATTTTTAAGTATTATGCTTTGATGTAAAATCCAGGCAGAAATCGACGACCGGCATGGTACCGGGCCGGTGCCGGCGTAAGACCGGCATTTCCACCGGCCCGGAGCCGGTCCAGTCAACAATGATAATCCGGGAAATATACGCCCCGGTGCTGGTAAATCACCGGCCCGGTTCCTGTTTTTAGTGTTTTCATGTCGGTTTACTGCCGGCACACCACCGGCGAGATACCGGGCCGGTGCTAAAAACAAAAATAATTTGTTAATTTTCTGCCGGCGTTATGCTGGCGCGGTGTCAGATTAGTATATTTTATTAACAACACATTTCATATTTTTAAACATTAAACAGTATTAATTATCATTTAATTAAATTGTAAACACTAAACAGTATGCTGAAACATATGAAACATTATTCATAATTAACAGAAAATCTGAAGACACGAGGAATTGAACTCAGGACCCTACGGCTGCAAAGTCGACGCCACATCCGCTAATCTAAACCGGCTTATAAGAAGTAAATGCAAAGTTAGCTTCTAAAGTGTGGAACCAGGACCATTTGTAAAAAGTTCTAAATTAATTAAAAACAACTTATCTAAAAGTCAATTTAAATTATGTAATAGTAAAGTTAATAATTATTTAGTACTATACATACATTTATAACAATATACGTTGAAAAGGAGGCAAAAAATAAACCGCTTGCACAATACCGGCCCGGTACCGGGCCGGTACTGGCTTTATAGATAAGGTTTTCAGAAACGCAGTGGCATGAAATTAGTTTAATATCTTATTAAATTATCAACATTTAATATGAATAAATCGGAAAAGACTTGAAACGGTAATTAAAAGTGGTACCGGGCCGGTACTAATTGTGATGCCGGCAAAACTCCATTGTCAGTATAAAAACGGTATTGAAAAGTGGTACTGGGCACATGGGCTCTTTTGTAAATTTCACCCTTATAAGTCTATTTCAGCTAATTATTTTCATTTTTCCTTTCTTAAAAAAAGCATGGACGAAATGTATCGAACCTCAAAAAAATGGGCACTGATTTGATTGGCTAAATCGAAGTAGCGTGCGCTTTTTAAAAATAATTTAAGTGTACTCTAAATGTAAAAGATTTTAATATTAATGATATACATAAAAAAAGTTAATTATTTCACATTACTATCTTATAAAATGAAAATATATTAATTAAATATTAATAAACATTAAGACTATTTCATGTTATACAGATTATACAAGTAGTAGGGCTGTGCCGGTTCTAAAACAGTTTGACCTTGAACCCTTTTTTCAGCCCTCTTGGCCCCCCACCACCCCCTAATTTGCATATTAACCCTTTCATTCAACACCCACCACCCCCTAATTTGCATATTAACCCTTTCATTCACCACCCACCACCCCCTAATTTACATATTAACCCTTTTATTCACCACCCACCACCCCCTAATTTGCATATTAACCCTTTTGATCACCACCCACTTTCAACCCTCTTGGTTACCCACCTTTTGAATTTTAACCCGTTTTATCACACCCCCACCACCCGTTACCACCCACTTTCAATCCTGTTGGCCACCCACCTTTTGTATTTTAACCCTTTTGATCACCACCCCTTACCCCACCTTCTTTCAACCCTCTTGGCAACCTACCCCCCCCTAATTTTCATATGTATTTTTAAACTTTCACCCTTTTGGTCGCCCATCCACCCTAATTTGCATAACCCTTTTCAGTATAAACATATACGGTTCCAAAAATTTAAAAATCATAATTAGAACCTCGAGGAACAAAGGGTTCGCGAGATACCGCGCGGGACTGTGGGTGGTTGGGAGTGGGTGGCTGTGGGTGGTGCACAGTGGATGGCTTAAAAGTGAAAGGTGCGCGGCAGATGTGCGCGTACGGTCACCGGGGCCCGTTGGTAGTCCATGCGTCAAGTGGGGATGGAGTTCAGTGGTGGGATGTTGTGTATGGTGGGGAGTACATGTACCTCAGGCGATTCCCGTGGCAAGGAAAGTCATTCTGTTCTAGCCTCCAGAATCAGCAGCATCAGACCTCTGGCACTAGTCATATATCTACAGCAATCCTCTTCAGAGGTCTCATTCCAGTACAAAACTTTGTTGAAGAAGCATTACCAAGAGCATCAGTGTAAGTTAATCTTCTTTATATTTTCTTATGTATAAATTATATCAAATTAATCATAATCCTTTTTTTCTGTTATAGATTCAAAAAATTAGCAAGTTAATCTTCCTACAAGAGACAAACATTCATTTGCATTGCCAAATTGTGTAGCAGCATTGTAAGTTTACTCAATTTACATGTCTTTCGCAAACATTTATCTTAATATGCATCAAATTGATTGTAATTTTATTTCTGTTTCAGTTATACTTAAATGAGCAAAGTGAAGCTTCGAAACATCGTATTCGGTAGACATCTTTAAAAAGCAGTCGTCATCGAGGACTATACCCCACCCCACTCCCTTCACTTCCACTACTTCCTTTCCAACTTATTCCAAATTCTCTTCATAGGTTTTTCAGATTTTTTTTTAGGTTATTTTCAGCGTTTTTTTCAGATTTTTCAGCTTTTTCCTCATACAATCTTTT